GAGGACCAACACAGTGTGAGACACCCTGATGCTGTTCTCAGAGTTGGGGGCAGGGTAGACAGCCTCTCCCCAAGGCTTAGGGCACTTCCACTGAACTGTGGGGGATGAGGGTGGCAGTCCCTAGTAATGAAGACACAGGAGAGGCACCCAGGGACAGAATGTTGATTTTACGCAACTGAACTTGCAAAACATGACAAAGCAGTGAAATTTTCTCTCTGAAACCACAAAGAAACAGATAATGGCTTAGCTCTGCTGCTTTTTGGGTATACTTGTGGTCTACATCAGTGCCCCCTAAGAGCTACCCTCTCAAGTGCCACCATACCAATCCTCTTCCACATGTTGCTGTAAAAAAAAATTAGCACACCAAACTTAAGAAAATACCTTGTGGGGAGAGGGCATGGCCAGCAACCAAACGCAGAAGGCGCGTGTTATCTGTGTAAAAATATGGCATCTCTACTCACATGTCTTCGACTGTGATGTCTTTCAGGATCTGGCAGTAATCCACGTTCCAGACTGCCTGGTCGTCCCACACCTTGGAGGCCAGCAGGATAGCCCCAAGTACAATTCGCTTCCAGTTTGCCGGACAGATATCTATCTCTGCATACGTCAAAAGTCTCTCAAGATATACCTGGGAAGACACAGGAACACCAGGGCTGATGACGTGAGGTCTGTTTCCCTACAAACTAGCATACATAAAGCAGCTCTAGAACTGTACACATCCATGTCACCAGCCTCTGAACAGGAATTTGTTACCTGATCTTATTTATCTTTAAAAGACCAAAGGGATCAATGAATCTGATGCAAAATGAATAAAGGTCAAACTCTGTGACCTGACAGGGTTGACACAGCCAAATCTTAAAAGACTCCAAGGCAGGAACAAATTCCAGGAACCACAGGTTAATTTCTTACTCTATCAGTGCTGTGATACCAAAGAGAACTTCAACAAATAACAAATGTTCCAACAAAGATAGTAAAGAATGTGAAGAGGATAAAGCTATTTTGTGTCTGTTTGTACATTTTTTTTTCAATTAAACTTTGTATTTTGGGATAATTGTTGCTTTCCATGTAATTGCTGATTAACCTGTAGTAAATAGTTAAATTGACAAGTTCAGCTGAAGTTTGAAAATAAAACCAAATAATATCAATTTTTTAATTGGCATAATTTAGTTTGAAGACAAGCACTCAGAAATATCAAAGACCACTGAGTGAGTAGAACTACGAGGTAAGAATACCTTTTAAAGTTTCTCTTAGTTTATTGTTTTATACTTCTCTGAACCATGGAATTATTATTTCTACAGTTTAGTCAAATGCATTTATAAAGCGGAATTACTGTACCAGAAGGAAAAAAAGTTAAACAGATATCTCCCATGTTTTTTAAGAAGCTGTTTTCTAAAACACAGAAAATCCATATGGTGTTAGAATTATTCACAGTTTATAATGTCAATAAAGTCTTAAATATTACAAATGTAAAAAAAAAAGGCATGCATTGAAGGAAAAATGTTAAATTGACAAATAAACTACCAATTGTTTTCTATTAAATAATGTTAATGTTCATAAATGGATGGGAAGGGTTTAAGACAAAGGAAAAAAAAGGAAGAATCCACAACTATCACCTCGTTTGTGGGGGGTGCTGGGGGAGGAGGCTGAACTTCAGGAAATTCCTAAGAGGGTAATCAACAGATGGACTGGCGGGGTTTGTGACATGATGTGAATCTATAATGAGGATGGGATAATGCCACAAGTAGACTAACAATTACGCCACAAACAGACACAGGATGACAGTGGGTAAGTGAAGGGCGTGATCACACAAGTGCACTGAGCTCCTTTTTCACTGTATGGACACTGAGCACTCACGATGCACCCGGCCACATGCTGGTCACTGCAGACAGAGCACCAGACCACTGCAGATCCTCCCGCAGGTCCCCACAGACAGCAGAGAACTCAGATACTGGTCGTCAGGTAAGTCTGTTTACAAAATGGGGGCAGCAGAGCTACGACAGCATCTAGCAGGGACCTCCATCTCCTCAGGGCCGGGGGGCTTCCCACACAAGTACTGATTGAGGTGAGAGCAGAAGGAGGCAGGAGCTAAAACCTGGCAAAGGTGGAGGGAGGAGCCACTCTAGGCAGAGTGCAAAGGCCAGAGGTCAGAGGGCCCACGGATCCCTGGAAGAACGAAAAGGTGGCCAGGGAAGCAGAGTGTGGTGGCCAGGGTAAGACAGACACAGGTGAGGTAGAGAAGAGGCCAAAAGATGCCACCACCGCTGCCAATACTGTGCCCCAGGTCCAGACAGCTTGTTGAGCTCCATGCGTTTAAGAGCCCACATGACCTTCATAATAAGCCTGTGAGGTAGGTGAGATGATCATTCTCCCGATTTTGCAGAGGACCAGACATAGTCACAGAGAGGTTAGGCAGCTCCCCCAAGGAGAGGTGACCAGTCAAAGCAAACTTCCAACCCAGGGGCTGCCTCAGAGCTACCTGCCAGAGGAGACGCGCTCCCGAACGGGGTCTTCAGGTTAATGTAACAGGAAGCCACTGACGGCACTGACCTCAATGGCTGCAGAGTGGAGGGCAAGCTAGACAGGAGCCATGCCGAGGATGGGCCTGCAGCATGCATTACAGACAGGACTGCAGTGCGAGTGGGGACACACCAGGGGAGGTAGCTGGCATGCTCAGGAGTGCTACCAGCCACCGTGGCAGATGGGCTGGCCATGGGAGACACTGGGCTCCTGGCTTGTGCAGCAGGATGGGTGATGTCCTCTGTGACAGGCAACACCAGGGAGGAAGAGGGTGGGGAAAGATGATGACGTGCCAGTCAGACTGTGGATGTTTTGTGGCTGAGACTCTTCTGGGACATCCCAGAGGGTGCTGAGTTGGCAGTGATGAATATGTAGGTCTGGAGCTGAAAGGAAACAGCGCTGGGATCTAAATTAGAGATCAGTGGCATCCAAAAAGAGATAGCCGTGGGCAGGACTCTGAGGGCCTAGGAAGAGGCTTAAAGGAGAGGCCAGGCCTGCGCTGTGAGGGACCCCTCCATTTTAAGAGCT